TGATGCTAATCCTGCTACCACTTCACATCTCACGTTTCCACGATCTGTTCTCCAAAATAGTAATAATAAAAACATCTTTTTTCTCATTACACCTGTGATTTTCTACGAATAACTTTTATTCAAGGTGAAACGTGAACTATGAGAATCACAAAAATTGATAAACGTTTTCTTTGTTATATACAAATAACAAAGTTATGCTTTTGGCAGTCTATATTATGGCCGAAATGTCACTAAAATCATTGGAAAAAGAAATGTCTCGCGATTCAGCAATGTCACGAATTTTGGCTCTGTTAATATAAAAAGAACATGAAGCATACAAAATGTTCGTTATTTTTTTTATTGTCTTTCATTTCTTATTATTCTGAATTTATCGATAACCTGTGACACGAAAAAATTAACGTGCAACAAATAAGAATAGCTTCTTTCAGTTTTCCAAGTTTACTTTTTTTGTCAATCCTGGTTCTTTTGGGTGACAGTCGAATAAAAATGAACTCTTTCAGAAGACTACACATTCGCCTATCCACATTAAATTTACATATATTAATGTATCAACATATTTTGTGCACAAAATGCAGTTTTTAATAAGTACAAAATTAGATATATGTGTATATCTATATTTCTCATTTCATGAGCAATTGTTTTTTTTATAAATTTTAATTGAAAGTGACGGACAAGGAACAGTTAATAAGTTGTTTTTTTTATCAAGTTTTTCTAATGTTCTTATGGTTTCCTTTTTATGGGAACTAAAAGAGTGTAGAATCTGTCCGTAGGGAATATTTTCTCAAGCACATTTCGACCAATTAATTAGACAGTTTCAAGAGGTTTGTTGTTAGCACATTTTTAAGCGAGTTCAACACAAGCAAGGCAATACTGCCACTAAGACACAGGGGGATTACTAGGTGTAGCTAAATTAGAAAAGAGAAACGTTATTAAGGATTTGGAACAAAGCAAGAGTAACCAGCGGGAGAGCAGATAACGATTGATATTGCATTCAAATTTTTGAAGATTAGAGAAAACCTGGACCCAAAAGAGAGTTCCACACGCTAAAAGTGTGAGAAAAGAAATTGTTAGCGTAGAAATTACGGATACATCAAGCCAATTCAGCTTTACAGTGTGGGACAGAAACCGACATGCCAGATCAGGACCGATAATATTGATGGATTTTATCAAGACATCTAGATATATAACAGGAGCACAAGACCATGTATGGTAGCAATATTCTAAGCATGGACGAATGGTAGATTTATAGATATGCAAGATAGATTCTGGAGAGTAAAATTGTCTTGTACGACACAGTGAACCAACTTTCTTAGCAGCTGACCGAGCAATGGATTCAATATTGTCTTTTCACTTCATGTCAGCCGAGAATGTTAACCCGAGAAGGTGCAATGAGTCACTCTCCTGGAGGTTAGCATCAGTCATGTTGATAGATGGCAGAAAGAGATCTCCCAGATGATTAGTAGAGAGCAGTTTAGTTTTGAAGTGGTGCAAATTAACAGGCCATCCTTTACTCGTTAACAACAGCCTGTAGGTCGTTTTTACCTAACCCGCCAATTTGATCTTATCGAACTGATAAGACTTACTATCAAGGCAAAAAATAAATGCTTCTGTCATCAGAAAGTTGAGAAAAATCATTTTCCTAATTATATTCTAAATAGTATTATATAAAAATATTGGTAACACTAAGCTGGTTAGAGTAGTGCTGGTTAGAGTAGTAATTCCTTGTTGAAGTATATTTAAAAGATAGCTAACACGTTACTACCGTTGACAAACAAGGTAAGGTTGAGACTTAACTCAAACCACATTACATAAATTGCTTCAATTATATTGAGTCGTCTTTTGCAATTACATCTTAAAATGACAGCGTTTTCTTCAATGGTTTTTCTCATAGGAGCAGGTCGTTGTGTATGAGTATTTAAGTGTTTCCTTATGGAATTCAAGTATATTTTTTACATAGGTCAGTATGATAAACATGATCACATACACATTTAAATATTGCATATATGCAAATCTGATTGGATATATGAAAATATTCAAAACTCACCGTTTGGAGCGTGTAATCCTTTTGAAAACTTTTTCATTTTTAATCCTTTTTCGTCTACAGATGGATGTTCCATTAGTGCAAATATTAGCGACGCGGCAAAAAGAACTTAGCAAATCAATTTCAAAAGGCAGACCCTTAGGAAAGATATGTATCCATTACTTCTCTCTTGAGCCACAGGTTAAATCGCGTGAATGACTTGGATCTCTTGACGGTCATTTTTGAGAAAGGAAAGTGAATTAAAAATCAGCTTGAAGTCTATGGGGGCCGTCAGTTTAACCTAGGAACAATTCTGCTGCTATTATCGCTCACATGTGGTTTCCAACTGTCCTAATCGAGTACAAAGCTCGTAACTATTATTCTGCTGACTGGTGTATAGTTTAAAATACAATTCCTCCTTCAGTATATACTTAGTCAGAATGACGTTTGCGTTACTGAAAAATATACCTAATACAAGTAACTAAAATAACATTTTATTAGTGAAAGTCTGAAGTTAACAATACAACGAATGTCCGAAGTAAACGAAACCCCGAAAGCCCGAAGTAAACGCAACACTCAAAATCAACGAAAAAACCGAAGGTCTAAAATAAACGAAGTGCCGAACATCCGACTTCAACGAAACACCGAATGTCCGAAGTAGACGAAAGCCCGAAGTAAACGCAACACTCAAAATCAACGAAAAAAGCCGAAGGTTTAAAAAAAAACGAATCGCCGAAAGTCCAACGTCAACGAAAAACCCGAATGTCCGAATTAAACGAAAGCCCGAAATAAACGCAACACTGAATTTCGGAAATAAATGAAACACCAAATATCTGACGTAAATGTAACACCGAAAAGCCCGAAGTCAACGAAACACCGAAGGTCTGAAATAAATGAAACACTGGAGGTCCGAAGTAAACAAAACCCCGAAAGCCCGAAGTAAACACAACACTGAACCGTCAGTGCAGCATCAAAAATCCAAGTTCAACGAAAAAGCGATAGTCTGAAGTTAACGAAATGCAAATTTTCAAAATCAGCTGATAATCAGATAAAATAGAAATACTAATATAATGGAGCCTTTCATGAACAAAGATTAATTATAACAAGGCTTCAGATGTAGCAATAGTAAGAAAAGAGCAATGGCAGGGGAATGCAGTCAGTAATAACAGCAGCATTGTCGTCAATAGCAGGCAAGGAAGAAGAACGCTAGGTTTAAGGCTCACTAATTACATTATACGGACTATTGTCCTCATCTTTGTCACCATATTAAGATGCAGTCCACTATTATCTCTAGGTGCAAACCTAAACCTTGAACTTAGAGCCCTAAATCTGTCTATATTTCTGTGCCATGGGTCCTAAAGACAAATGCATTAGTTAAATCCAGTGACAGGACCCCAAGAGTGTGAGTTCAATACCCGGTTAAGACAGTGGAAAGGGGAATTAACAGGAGATAACTGATAACTGATGTCCATTAGTGGAACTAGAATAGTCTATCCCAGTGAGCAAAATAAAGGGTTCACTTCGACATTCCAACCAACTGAAGAAGGCCGGAGCGTACAACAGCCGAAACGTTGTAATAAATATGGTGACAAATATGAGGACAATAGTCCGAATAATGTAAATAGTGTACATCGTACCTCATCTCAGAAATGTAGACAGGTTTAAGGCTCTAAGTTCAAGATTTAGTTTTGCACCTACAGATAATAGAGGATTGCATTTTTAGTGAATTTAGTGACAGTAAGTTTAAGTTAAAATTCTGGACAGAGTAGTAAATAGGACGGGCAATAAGGGAGTAGTACACAGTGTGATATCCCTAGATACGAACAGAGAAGCGATAACAATATATCTCCATAGATTACATATACTTTCGAAATTTCCTGAAGTTTACGCAGATAGACAGACACCGGAAGAAGGCCGGAGTGTAGAACTTCCGAAACGTTGTGATATTAACAACAAAGATGAGGACGTTTTTACGAATGTAAATAATCTTTTTTTCTTTTTTATGATTTCGCCACAAACAAGGCAATAAAGCCACTAAGATGCTAACGGATTATACAGTGAAGGAAACTGAAAAAAAATTGCTGAGAAGAAACGAAAATAAAAAGAACATATTTCAGGGAGACAGAATATGACGATTGGTATTGCATTTAAATTTCTGAAGACCATAATTGACATGAAAGCATGAACAAACAGGGAGAAGTGCGAGAGAATAATCTATTAGAATAGAACTTGCAGTTACATCTAGCAATTGCAACAGTAAAATAATGAAACCTAACTGCCAATCTAGTACTACGTTTAAATTCATGAAATCGAGGTGCCAAAAAAAAAAAAAGAAAAGCTCATTAGGATAATTGCAAAATCAGAAGAATCATATAAACTATTATTTTCCATAATAAGTAAATTACTATTTTATTCAAAACGTGTAAACATATTTAGAAATAACTAAACCATTTTTTCATACTTTGATATTAAAGATTCTTTTTAAAACGGCCCGTGATTAAAAAGAAATCGAAATGGCATGAGAAAAATGGTGATACGTGTGGCGTCATATTTTAGTCTAATAATAAATGATTGTATTCTGCCTTTTCCTTGTTGATTGCATGTGTAATAGACTTAAAGACTGACTGATAGCAGAGCGTCTGCACTCTCGCAATCTCAAAAAATGCCTGGAGTTAAAAACCATATTCATGGTCTTATTAGAATTTGAACTGATGAGAAGTAATTCGCAAGAAAGTTACTCGAGGAAATAGAACTACATTTTCTTCTCTTAATCAAATACAAGCCGGGGAAGTGTGAGTATTCTTTTAGTAAATAAAGAAAAAATTGAATATTGGTTAATGTAGTAGTAACTGACAGAAGAAAAAGAAGAAGAAGAAGAAGACTAAGGGGAGGAGGAGGATATGAACAGAAAAAGTAAGAGAAAAGTAGAAGGAAAAAAGAAATGGAAGAGTAGGAGGAGAAGGAGAAGGAGAATAGCATGTTAAGAAGAAAAGACGACGAAGAAAAAGAGGCGAAGGGGGCGGGGAGGAGGAGAAGAAGAAGAAGAAGAAGAAGAGGAAGAAGAAGGAGCAACAGCAGCAGCACAGGATAAGAAAATAAGGAGGAGGAAGAGAAGAAGAAAAAGAGGGAAAGAAAATGAAAGGAAAAAGAGAAGAGGAAAGCGAAGAATAAGAAGAAGGCAAAGAAGAAGGGAAAGAGAAGAAGAAAGGAAGGCGAAGAAGGCGAAGGGAAGAAGAAGAGGATAAGAAAAAAGGAGGAAGAGAAGAGGAGGAGGAAGAGGAGAAGATGAAGAGAAGCAAAAGAAGAAGAACAAAAGGAAAAAAAGAAGAAAAAAAAGAACGACACGAACAAAAACAACAAGAATAAAAAACAACAACGACTACAGGAAGAAGGTAGAAACTTATTGTCCGAGCGGGATAAAAAGAAGCGAAAATGGAAAAAAAAGTTGCATTACGGCTAATAAAAGAAAGATGCAAGCGAGAGAGAACGCAAATAATGGAAAATAGAAAAAGAAAGAAAGCCAAGGAAAGAAAATACTTTTAAAGAGGAGAAAGAAATCTGATAAAATGAAACTGGTAAAGTAAATAGAAAAAGTAAGGAGAAAAGTAAAAGAGGAAAAGAGTCAAAGAGAAATAAACGAAAAAGTGAATAACTATGAATTTATTAAAAAAGAAAAGGTGGAAAGTGGGAAAAAAAGGCAAGAAAAAAGAGAAAGGAGATAAAAGAAAAAATAGGAAAACGAAAGAAGAGAATAAAAGAGAAAAATGGAAAACGAACGAGAAGATAAAAATGGGAAAACGAAAGACGAGGAAAAAAGAGAAAAATGGGAAAAACCGAAAAGGAGATAAAAAGAGAAAAACATTAGAAAACGGGAAAAGAGATAAAAAGAGAAAAATGGGAAACGGAGGAGATAAAAATGGGAAAACGAAAGACGAGAAAAAAAAAAGAGAAAATGGGAAAGCTAAAAAGGAGATAAAAATGGGGAAACCAAAGACGAGATAAAAGAGAAAAATGGGAAAAACCGAAAAGGTGATAAAAAGAGAAAAATCGGAGGCGGAATAAGAGATAAAAAGAGAAAAATGGGAAAAGAGAAAAAAAGAGAAAAAATGGGAAACGGAGATGGAGATAAAATGGGAAAATGAAAGACAAGAAAAAAAAAGATAAAATAGGAAAGCAAAAAAGGAGATAAAAATGGGAAAAATAGAAAACGGGAAAAGAGATAAAAAGAAATTAAAAGAGAAATAAAGGAAACGGAAAAGGAGAGAAATACAGAAAAAATAAAAAAGACAAATAGCAAAGTTGATGAAAAATTAGAAAACAGCAAAGGTGAAGAAAAAAGGAAAAAAAAAATGATGAAGACAAAATTTAAGAAAAATGAAACTGTAGCTACAGGATCTCCTTGATAATGTGCTAGAAGAAATCAAGAAAAAAAGGCCAACCAACAACTGCAAGAAGAGAGAATGTATGATCATCATGAAGAGAAAAAGCCAAAATGCGAGTTATGACTTAAAGATATAAACATCGAGCAGGAGCAGAAGTTATAATATCTGGGAAGCTTTTAAACAAAGGATGGAAAATGTGACACCGTGAACCGAACGCACATTGGAATAGCGAATGGAAAATTCCAGAAGCTAAGCAACGTGCTGAAAAGTGGAACACTAGTTAGAACTTAAGAAAAGAGTGCTGGATTATTATGTGATATCCATCCTTTTATATGGCACTAAATGTTGGTGAATCTCCCCACAGATGAAAAAAAAACTAGAAGCAGCAGAAATGTGGTTCTATAAAAGGATTCTGAAGATTTCATGGAAGGAGCGAATAAGCAAAATGGAATTGGTAAAAAAAATGTCAACAGTAACAACACTTACAATCAGAATCAGGAAAAAAAAAAGGCTGACGTTCTTAGGACGTATAATTAAGAAGAACGGCGGGCAATTTGGCGTAGTATTTATTTGCTCACTGCTGCACGCAGCAAGATGTGGCACAAAGTCGAGTTTTAAAGTGGGGTATTCGAGCCCGTAGGCTCGGGCAAAAATTCCCTATTGACCACGTAAAAACGGAATCAGCCTCGTCTGTGGGATACCATCTGACATGTGCCAGTAGTATAATGGTTAGCAAGCATGTCTCGCTAGATAATATTACGACTGAATACTGAAATTGATCTGCACTTTGTGCCCAACACCTTTGGACATGTGCCACATCTAAGCAACCCTTAGAAAACCACCATAATTAGCTCTTGGTAAACTTAAAGCTCACGGTGCCATATTAAGGCTCCGGAAGATAGGCGAAGAACCATTTATCGGACGAGCTTGTATGAACGGATTTAGCAAAAGGAAAAAAAAAACTGCCGAGATCTTCACGAGATAGGAAGTTGTGGAGATCCATTGTCGCTTATGTCCTAAAGAGACAAAAAAGAACGTTAAAGAGGCTTATATGCTTGTTAGATTTTTGTTGAATGATGGATTTAGGCAGCGAAGGAGAACGAGAAGAAAGGACTAAGCATAAACTACAAGAAGACAGAATACATGATCATCAGTAAAAAGATGTGCCCGAAATGTGATTTACAGGTTGGAGACACTAAAATCAAGCAGGCGCGGAAATTTAAATATCTGGGAATTGTCTTGACAGAGGACGGCAAGTGCGACACTGAGATCCGTAGATGTATTGGGATGGCCAAAGACGGATTCCAAAAGCTGGGCAGAGTATTGCGATACAGGACGATCTCTTTGGTAAGAAAGAGTACTGAGCCGTTGTGTAATATCTGTCGTCCTTTACGGCAACAAATGCTGGACGGTCTCCTCAAAGATGAAGAAAAGACTCGAGGCAACGGAGGTATGGTTCTACAGAAGTAAGTTCAGGATATCATTGACCGAGCATGTGAGCAACGATGAGGTTGTGGAGAGGATGCAAACAAAGAGGAGGCTTATACTTAACATCAGGTTATGGGCACCTAGAGGTGGTGTAATGGTTAGCAAGCTTGTCTCGCTAGCACAATTACGAGTAGTGAGTTCGATCCTCACTGGGTGCCCCATACTTTCGGCCTTGTGCCACATCTAGGCTACGCTTGGAAAATCGCTACTTAACATCAGGTTGCGGGATTAAGTTTCTGGGAAACGTAATGAGAAAGGAGGGCTTGGAGAATTTGATACTCACAGGTCGAATAGAGGGAAAAAGAGACAAGGGAAAGTAATGCATGGCATACCTCGCGGGCTTAAGCAAGTGGATAACAGAGAGATGAAACTTATTGAGAGCTAGGGGTGAAGGGGTGAAGTGGAGAGCCATGATCGCCTACGTCCTGAAAGGACACGGCATATAAAAAGAAAGTCCATAATAATGAACTACATTGTAAGGATATTATAATGATGCGATTTAAAGTAGGAAAAAATGAGGTTATATTAAAGAGAAAAGAGAATGCTATCTTGATGTTCGTTTTTCGAACGTGCTTCAGACCAGATAAGCAACAAGAATATATTTTTTTTTACCCTGAAGTCACCTGAATTACTGAAGCAGTTATGTTGGTGATATTACTGATGTTAGAGGGGGCAATATCTTAACTAATGAAAAGCACGCCTCTGTAAAGAAAAGATGATAATAGTGATAAAAATAATTACATTGAGAAGTGGAACCTTGCTAAGAATGCTTGCCTGTGGTCATGGTAACTGTTGATTGTGGACACGTATTGACAAGAAATTTGTGAAGGTATAGATAGACGATAAGAATAATATGTAAAAAAATAAAGACGGGTTTTGATTACATATTACAAGCTAAGTTTGGGCCCTGAAGTTATCTAATAATCACCAGAGAATCGGCATAAGATATGCGCTTAAAACTAATAGAAGAAAAAAACAGAAATTGAAAATAATTGCACGGATGACTAGCGACAAAGGACTAATGGGATTCTGCTTTTTGTCTTCTGTACCATAGATATCAGAAATTCCTCTTAAAAACAAATATACGATGAAACACAGAGTGGAGCTCGAGGCCGTCGAGCAACATCGTGCTTAGTCAATACTTAGATGGGTGACCGCTTGTGAATACCAAGTGCGTTAAGCTTGGATGTATGGGTGGGGTAATAGATATCTGCTCGGAATTAAAAATCAGAAAACCGAGTTTCAATTCCAGTCAGGTTCATTATGTTCACTTATTGGAAAGAGTATGAATCCACATATTCCCTCCAGCTATGGATTAATTAGTAGAACGTTTTATCAGTAAATCTTTATTATCTCCAAAAAATTCTTAAAATGTAAAATATTTTCTGCTTTTAAATAAACTGTAAAATATCGATAAGCCGTAAAAACAAATCAATAAATCAATAAATAGAGGTCGTCTGTATAGTTCTGTTTGTAGCTGGTTACTTGATTTTGCTTAGCGGCATATCAATACCTCTATGGGTTATTTAATGCCGAAATCTAAATATTTTGATTGGTTTGGTTTGGTTGATTTTGTTTAGCGGCATGTCAAAGCCTTTATGGTTAATTTCATGCCGAAATCTAAATATTGTGAACACTACTTTTTGGCTTCAACTAAATATATCTTGAACGCAATTGTATGCCTTCAAATAAAGATAAAATGTACTGTCTCTAATTTTACTATAAACAGGTATATTTTTATACTTTCATAGTTGGGATACTTACAGGTGCTACCAACCCGGGTCGAAGTGAACCTGGGAACAACAGCAACTAAGAGGCGGTTCCACGCTCATCAAAAGCATCAATCTCCCGATCAGAGGCCTTGCTACCTGATGTAGTTCATGGACATACCCAAGATTATGTAGCTTTTCTACGAATAGTGTCTTCTCATCGAATTGATTTAAACATGACGCTGCGGCGATACAGGATTCATTATTGGCGGGCACTAACCTAACAGTAAAAGATATGCAGATAAGACTGTGACGGACATAGAAAGAAAAAGGCGGGAAAGAAAGAGTCGTAAAGAAAGTGTGAAAAAAGGATTAAATATCAGTTGTAAGAAGACAGAATTTATGGTTATAAACAAGAGGAACAGACCAAGTACGAATTTGAGATACCAAATTAAAGCAAGTACGAAAATAAAGCAAGTACGGTAATATGAAGACACATTGGAATAATGAAAGATGCCTTCCAAAAACTAAACAAAGTATAAACAAGCACGAAAATTTCGTTAGAAATTGTAACTGCTAGACAGTATCATCACAGATGAAGAAGAGACATGAAGCTACAGAAATGAAGTTCTACAGAAGGAGACTGAGAATACCATAGACTGAATATACGAGTAACGAGGAAGTTTTAAGTAAAAATAAAAACAAAAAGGGAATTTCCAATTTAAAAACTCCTCCTTTTACACATGATCTGTCCATGGTATTCTTATCATTCATCAATAGAACCATATCTTTGTCGCCTCAAGTCTCTTCTTTGTTTGCAGGGGGATTGTCCTACATTCTCTGGCATGTAGAAGATTACTTATTACATAGTAGTTCGGTACATTTTAAATGATATTCTAACACGTTTTAGTAATTTACTTAGTTTTTAGAAGTTATCTTAAATTCTAATGTGACTGTTTATTAATAATTTAACTCGCAAGTTTTGGTTCATCACTGCTGTGGCCTGACTTTGAACTCACAACTCTTTGGGTCTAGTCACTGGATCTAACTAACGTCTTTATCCACTAGGTCTCAAGTACATACGGGAAATAACTGAGATATCTGGGAGAGGGATGGCACAGTGAACGAAATAAAGGGTTTGAATAAAATTCCAATTACCTGAAGAAGGCCGGAGCGGACAACGGCCGAAACGTTGTGAATAGGGCAATGAAGATGAGGATAACAGTCCAAATAATGTAAACAATGCAAGTAAAAAACACATTCACACAATTTTCACTATGTCTCAAAAATGTAAGTATAATTCAAATTATTTATTATAAACAGAGCATTTACTTAAATATTTGTATCTATAAAAAGAATGTATAAACATAAAAATGTCTTAA